GAAATTCTACTTAATCTGTTTTTAACATTCTTTATTGTTTTATCTTAATCTGTAGAACCGTATTGCCAGCGAAAACTGCTGTTATAAATCATTACATAAACATGAAACCTGTTCTCAATTCATTACACTAAAACATTTCCCTGTAACGGGATAAAGATTTTATTTTGTTGATTCCTGAGAAAAGAGGAGAAAAAAAATCTTGATATTTGGAAAAAGAACCCCGTTTTTTCCCTTCACAGCAAGGTGATACTCTTCAGAACTCCTCTTTTTCTTTGAAACATAGTCCTGTGACTAAGCAAAACCCCATAACCGGTTCACCCACATAACAAAGGCACTGCTGGAAATTAATAAGCTAAGTGGTAGTGTGACTCAGAAGCCCGTTCCCATGCCGAAAGGTCTCCTACATGCATGAGTGCAAGCAGTGGGATGGTGGAAGAGGCCAGGAGAGCTTGCAAGTGGGGTCCCCTGTGGCAGCCCTCGCCCAGCCGTTGTGCTGCCCGTGCAGCGCTGGCTGTGTCACTCCCTGCCACGCGCCTGCAGCCAGAGCTCCGAAACAACTCACTGCTAGGGAAGGAAGTCGGAAGAAGGGCTAGATCTAATGGATACTCTGACAGCTGTACTGTTTACTAGAGTAAGGCAGCTTGAAACCCAGCAAAACTGTCAGGAGCTGAGAGCAGCTGATGGAAACGGCAGTCAAAACCAGAGGGAGCGAGAAAGAACGGCTGGTCCTGCATCAGACTTGAAGGACGACTGATTGTGCAAGCTGATTTTGCTTAACAGCTTAGAGCCTGTAAAAAGGGAAGGAGGAGGGCAGGAGAGCAAGGACAGCAGAAAAGGAATCCCGGCCCAGTAACGCTGAGAAAATGGGACAAGGACCTGAGAAACAGCTGGAGACCTTGGCTGCCCCAGAGCAGTGCATGACGCCGATCGATCACACCGTGTGCCGCTCTGCTTTCTTGTTGCCCGTGTTCAGCAGCCTCAGCCGTACCCTGCAGCCTCCAACAGCAAAGGCGCTGCTCGGGTGAGCGGTGGCTTGCCACCCTGGCTGGGCTGTAAAGGCTCACTGTGAGGTGGAAAAAATACTGACTGTCCTGTGGAAGGGGCTCTTACCCACTTGCTTTCTGCATGAAGAGGTGAGGAGGCTGAAAGGGTCCCTGGACGGCGTGGGGCCAGCGTCCCCAGTGGGCAGCCCTGATGGGAGCAGGGCACAGCGGCTTGCCCGCTCTCCACTCGACCTGGCTGGTTTCACCCCACGTGCCAGTGGGATGACTTGGCGAGCTGACTTTCTGGGGAGGAAAAGGGGGGGTTGTTGCTCATGGGCAGTATCTCCAAGAACCTCTGCCGTTTGCCCTGCCGTGCAGAACAGCCAAGAGAGGAGGCTGCCAGCTGTGCCTGGTGAGGAGTTTCATTTCTGTCATCTGCTGATCCACAGGCAGAAAGTTGGCTGGTGTATAAGGAAATGAAAGGGAAAGAAAGCTTTGAATTATTATTTCCAAGGCTATTCTAATGCAAGCCTTCTCAGTTGGTTTCATTTCTCCTGATTGTTGTCATAATGTGTAGGTGGAGCCTATAAATAAAAAATGATAAGAAGCTGAAAAGTTACTGCTTCTCCTTGCTACTGGACACTACACAGGTAGAAATTTCTCTTTCTCTTCTTCTAAAAATAATAATGCATTTTTTGACTGTTATCTTTATTCCTTTTAATAGCTGTATGTGAGAAGATTGCATAAGTAATTGTAGTTAAACAAGGTTGCCAAGGGTAGGATTTGATGTTTTCTGAGGTGGGGAAAAAAAATACATTAGTATTCATCTTTAAAGGGAGATGACTGGGAGATGGTATTTAAATTTGAACACATTCTTTGAAGTATGGACTGTGTGGGGTCAGTATGCAGCAACACAGGGTCTAGCTGGCACTATTCATGCATAGCATCATAAGCTTTGATTGCTTCATTTTTTCCTGAAAAGACAGCTAGAATTAATAAACATACAACCCAGAGACTGTGTGGTTTACCCAAATATCCTGAAGTCATGGGACATGGCAGGCAGAAGTCCATGTGCCCTTGTGGCTGGACACGGAGTGAATAAATGCAAGAGCTGTGTGGGTTCAGCGCTGCAGCCTTGTGCTTTGGGTTCAATAATGGATTTTGTTACTACCCCTTGAGATGCTTAATTGTTAGAGGAAAATGAGGCAGCTCCTCTTCAGGACCGTCAGCATGTCAGTGCTGCATGCTGGTGTGGTTGTGCAGAGCAGTGCTTCGTGTTGTGCCAGGGAAGGTTTCCAACACAGAGGCAGGCAGTCTAGAGGCAAGGTTCAAGGAAACCAATATTGTCCCAATGACGAAGGCAAGGTCAGCCCTGGTGAAGGGGGTGTTATCAGACTTCCAGTATCAGCACATCATCCAGGTGTCAGGTTTTGCATATGGATTCTGACCAGTTTCAGAAAGGCACTTAAAAATTGCAGCTCTTTTTTCCTCTTCCTCTTCCTTTCTTTCACCCGATGTTGTCAAGGCTCAGTACACAAAGAAATCGCTATGCCTGCATGGCACAGTGAAGTGTGGCACTGACCTACCTAACCTGTTTCAGGTCCAGGTGGAGAACAGCCAGATAACCCCAGAAATCCTTGTATGCTGATTTACTCTGCTGCTTACTGCAGGTATCTTTGTTAGCCTATGTATCTGTGTGTACACACTGTGGTCTGCACTGTACACCGAGCTAAAAACCCTTCTTGGTATGTGGTAAGATACAGCCCTTGCACTAAAATATTTCAAAGTTGTCACCCTTTTTTGTCAGACTCCTTAAGTCTCAGTTTCCCAGGTGTCATAAGTTTATCTTGCAAGAGATTCTTTTTCTTTTTGTTTTGATTTTCCTGGTGGCCTTACTGTGCTATTTTTGCATTTAATCCTATTTATTTATTTATTTATTTTGCATTTTTCATCCAATTTATAAGGGCCTGTAGTGACAGGACAAGGGGTAATGGGTACAAATTGAAAGGGGCAAGGTTTAGATTAGGTATCAGGAAGAAGTTCTTCACGGAGAGGGTGGTGAGGCACTGGAACAGGTTGCCCAGAGAAGCTGTGGATGCCCCATCCCTGGAAGTGTTCAAGGCCAGGCTGGATGAGGCTTTGAGCAACCTGGTCTAGTGGAAGGTGTCCCTGCCCGTGGCAGGGGAGTTGGAACTAGATGGTCTTTAAGGTCCCTTCCAACCCAAACCATTCTGTGATTCTATGATTATTGTGAGGATGGCTAAAGCTTCCTGTATAACCTCCTTCTGAAGGAAACGCATCCATGTTTAGGAGGCTAAAACCAGTATATGAATAACTCTGACCACAGCCCAGTGAATACAAATAATAATGTAAAGGGACAGAAAATTCGTTTGGGGTAATATTTATGTTAAATTAAAAATGTATAGGAAGTGCTTATTCCAAAAATTGTAAAGCAGGTAGAGAATGGGGGAGGCAATAAAAGGGATTATTGATAGAAACATTCTCATCAGTAAATTATTTCCTGTAGCAATAGAAAATCACAAGAGAATCTGCTAGCCAGTGAATGGAGAATGCATGTTGGTTGCAGATAAAGCACTGAGTCCTCATTCATGGAAGAAAAATCCTAGAATCCATTAATAGAAAAAGTTCATACGGAAATACTAAAGAAAAAGGATGTGTGGAGAAACATGAGGGAACATGTAAAATTAATACCTTTAAAGAAATTAAAATAGTTCAGTCATCTTTTATTGCTGGTCAAAATTGAGAAGTTTCCCCATAGTAATTTATTTTTTATTTTGATATGAGGAGACAGGAATATCTATTAAAAAGTAGCTATTGCTTTATTAAAAAGAAAGACTGAATAGCAAGTGTGGAATTGTTCTACTTTTTTCTACACTTGTTTTACACATTGAAAGTATAACTTAGGTTGTGTCTGATCATCCTGTTTTGATATCTGCTCAAATGAGAAAACCCATAAACATAATTCAACCAAAAAATTAGAAGAACGGGAGCCTATTTCAAGCAAAACTTTGTTTCTCCTAATTCATTTTCCCAAGTATTCGAGTTAAGCAGATCTTGGGTTTTGCAAGGGGAGGTTAAAATAATTCTAGCTTTGAAAAAATACTGTTAGGGTATTTTTTTTTTTAAATCATTCTCTCTGGAAATCACTTTCCATGGGAAACATCAGATCAAAAGCCTCCACCTTCTCCAGTGACCCATAGAAAATATGCCAGCAAAACGTTTACACAAAGAAAAGCTGAACAAGAAAATAAAAAGTCACCTAGTTCCCTATTCTCTAACATCACGTCAAGCAAAATCTGCTTTTTGGAAAGGGTTTTAAGCTGGGGAGGTGCTGAGATACTGAGCTTCTAAAATAGATGTAGGACTTGCCTCTGACAAGTGTTTCTGTCGCAAGAGGGGCGAGTTGGCTGCAGGGCAGACTGTGGCTTGGTGTGTCCTACTCTCATTGCCCGTGGCCCACCTGTGTAGACCCTCTTTGTGCGGCCACACAACCCTGTGCTCCTGACCCCAGGTGACTGAAGTTAAGCAGTCATACCCTCTCTCCAACCATGCCCAGCAGCTGCCATACTGACTGAGCCTCTCAAAACACCTTTCAGCAAAACAGTTCATTGAGGAGAACTGGCTTTTTGCAAAAACTAGTGTAACTTCCCCCCCATCCCCCAAAAAATGGTGTTTACTCTGTTGTAACTTCTTTTCTTTGAAAACACAAAGAAAGCATAAGAGAAGTAAGGAGAAGTGTTTCAAGTTTATCCTCTGGAGAGCAGTTTTAGTGATTTGAAAAGAGCTGTGGCACTTCATATCTATCAAGGGTTTGAATCAGTGAATAAAATGGTGTTTGATTTTCTCTGCTATGATCACTATTGCGAGCTGGAGTCATTCTGTGCCCCATGTTTAATTTCAGAAGCTGTATGCAAGATTGGTTGGACCAGGCAGTAATCGCTGTTTAGTGAAGCACTTATGAACAACCCACGTGGAAGGCCAAAAAATCAGCAGGCCATGGATAATAAGAGTGTAGCATTCAAACAAGTTTCCGAAAGAACCAAAGTTGCCCTGAAGAAAGATGTTTTTGCATCACCTTCCTTTGAACTACCTTTAGAAGCTTTTGCAGTACCTCTCCCAGCAGAAACAGAAGATGAAGGTCTCCTAATGTCAGAGAACATGATTGAGAGAAAGCCTAACTATGAGCAAAAAGAGTTGAAGAAACAGTCTAACAGAGAACAGGACGAGGTAAGGCAAATCCCAGAAGAGGGCATAGATCCTCCCCACTTTTACTTCTGTGTTTCACTTGGTGCCCCAAAACGAATTCCCTTGTCTCGTTGGGCAATATGCCCTTGTTAGGTCTGAGAAGAGTAGTACTTCTGGGATCAGAGCCAAGCAGTCATTTGTGTAACTGTGAAGATGGGTACCTGCAATTAATCTGCAGGCATAAAAAATGCAGGTGTAAAAACCAGGATGGCAGCAGTCTAGGAGCCAATTTAATGTGCAACATGTTTCATTAGTAATAACTAGCAAATGTTGAACAGAAATCCTAAAATCTGATATTTTTCACTTGAGGCTCTGCTACCTTCAACAGAAATACAAAGAAAGCTTAATAATAGCCTGTGTTGAATACTTGACACCAAAAACAGATTGGTTTTAAGTCTCTGTCATAGTTAATGAAGTTCCTTGAGAATGGTTAGGATTTACAAGTTAGTAGACATCGTCATGAAGTTAATGGGGAGGGGTTGCCAATAAGGTTTTAAAATACCTGCCTCCAGTAATGCATGTTGTCTTTCTCATCTTGAAAGAAAAATCTGCTCTGTTTGATTGCATCTGACTGATAGACACATTTTCAGAGGTAGCTTTCTTAGACAAAGGTGATAAGGGGAAACTTACATTTTTTTCTTTTCAAAAAATCAGGTATGAATGTGCCTGGCCCATTAGGGTCTGTAAAATATTGGTGTTCTCAAAATTGCATTTCTAAATGCAGCAATCAGACTGGAACATGGAGAGAGCAATGGGGAGAAGAGCCCAAACTGATCTGCCTACCCTTTAGCTGGGCATATTGGACAGCAGGTGGACCAGTTTGGAAAGGGCTGGAAATTATTCAGTTTGTTTTCATGAAAATGAAGAGCCTGTGTTAATATCTGGCACGTGTATCAAAACCAAAAAAGGACAATAATCAGTCATTTAAAACAAATCACTCATATTCACCTCTTAGCCTAGCCTAAAATGGGGCAAAGAAAGAAGGGCCACGATGATCTAAAAGTCTTTAGCCACCTGTTAAGGACACTACAGCAGAACATTCTTGGTGTCTGCACAAACTACATCTTCAAGCTTCAAAACAAAGATTTAATAAGCTCTTCTTTACTAAATTCTCTTATTACTGAGGCTAGTCTTCATTGGCATACACATACCACAGTACAGTTGTAGATGAGTGGAATGGCAGTTATTAAAAAAAAAAAAATAACAGAGTACACTTAGTAATAAGGTGTCCTTTTACTTTTTACCTTCTCAGGATAGCTTAGAAAGTTTGGCATTTTTACTAAGGATGGTCATTGAGCTAACCTCAACTGATTTTGTCATATTTACAGACACCTGTTTGTAACATGGAGCTGCAAGGATGCACAGTGATATGAAGCACCATTTGATGCCAGTACATAGGGTTTACTAGAGAATGATGAGCTGGAAAAGATGCCTAGATATTTTTGTGTGTGTGTGTGGAAAAAAAATATTTTATAATTGTGGAAAATTCACTCTAAGTTTAACTCTAGCAGGCAGCAGAACATACCTTGTACAACCAATATGAGGAAAAGATCCGCCCCTGCATTGATCTCATCGACAGCCTACGAGCTCTTGGAATAGAGAAAGACCTTGCTTTGCCCGCGATCGCAGTGATCGGAGACCAGAGCTCTGGGAAAAGCTCTGTCCTAGAAGCCCTGTCTGGTATTGCTCTTCCTAGGGGCAATGGTAAGAATTCACCTTCTCAGGTTCTTTACCTGAATTTCACTTTGATGAGGTGGAAGGAATGGGGTTTTTTTGTTTGTTTGGTTGTTGGGTTTTTTGTTTGTCTGAGATTGGGTAAGTCCATGACTGAAACTGTATCTTAATTATGAGACTCCAGGGGACTTCTCAGCTCTGGTTTCCAGTAGAAGAAATGGATGTGCTACTGCAGGGTAACTCCAACAAGGCAGATGTTCTGAGTGGTCAAGAGACCGGGGTAAGAAGAACATAGTGTAGTGTACTTGCCCCAAACTGTGGACAGACTGAAAGGTAGCATCATCTGACTGCATTTCCCAACAGAGCAGTGCAGCAGAGCATCAGTTTCACATGGAAGACTGGTCTTGAAATTTGCTTTTGGGGTTGGTTCGGTTTATTTTAACAAGACTTATTTATAGATACCTATCTTATTGGCAAAAATTCTGAGAAGATCTTTACTTACAAATGTGTGCCTTGGATGTTATCTAAGTCAGAGAAGACTGTTGGAAGACTTTGCAGCTCAAGAACAATCGCTTTCCAGCCCCATGTGTGTGTGTATGCACACATATAATTTCTGCAAGTTCTGTATGAGCTGACAATACCATTTAATCTTTCAGGCTGGACTTAAGGAAAAGGTTTTCATCGGATGTAGGTGCAGCACTGAAACAGGTCACCAAGAGAGGTGCGAATCTCCATCCTTGGCGGTTTGCAAAACAAGACGTGGCTAGACCATACCTAGTACCAATGACAGTTCTACTCTGAGTGGGAAGTCAGACAAGAGCCCTTTGGCAACATCTCTTGGAATATTTCTGTGTCTCTGTGCAAAGTACTAAGCAACCCTGTGTATGCCACAGTCCATGGCTGTGTATCACGCTTAACAGCTGCTGAGTGAGTTACCTCTGTCTTTGGAACTGCTGCAGGTATTGTTACTCGATGTCCCTTGGAACTTAAACTGAAAAGAATACCTGCCATCCAGGCATGGAAAGGGAAAATTTCTTACCGCAACACCAGCAGAGAGCTCCAGGATGCCTCTGAGGTGGAGAAAGCCATAAGAGAAGGTGAGTTGTAGTGTATTCCCCACCAGCCAGATGCTGTCTGTCTGGTTTGGGGAGGTGGTCTGTCAAATTGTAAGCATGCAAAGCCCTAAATGGTTTCTGTCATCACTTCAAAAGCTCAGAGAATGCTTGAGGTGCTAGTGGCTGGAAATCTGTGGTTTTGGAGAAAATTGCAAGAAGGCAGAGTGGAGGGCGTATAGAGCTCCTGCCACCTAATGTTACCACAGCCTCAATCACTGCCCTTCCCATGTCACAACTTTATATTTATGGTATTTCATGCTGTGTAAAAGAAATATTTTTCTTAACTAAAGGGCAGTAAGCACTTGCCCTAAATGTGAAAGTTGTATTGCCCTTATTTCCCTGAGCAGAACAGCTCTGCAACATTGTTATTTGTCTTAATGTTTTTCCATTATCTTTTTAATACATAATTTGGGTATTTTCAATATATCATTCCAAAACTGGCAAGGCAATGGGTATGAATATATTCAACTAATTACAGAGCTAAAAATCTCTCATGAGAATGACTACAGGGTTTCCTTGCCTCTCTGTGCTGTGATGAGTTGCCTTTTAGGATCTGGGACAAATTACTCAGTCTCTCAACCGCTCTGTTAAATGTGAAGTATATAGAATAACACCTATTTATCTTTCAAGGCAGCCAAGGATTAAGTAACGCCTACAGAGTGTCTTGATACTGAGGAAGATTTTCTACAACTGACCAGTATTTTTTCCCATCATCTTCATTGTAGTTTATTTACATGTATTTTTTGTCTCAATATATGAGGATTCATATACACTCTGTAAAATATTACAGTTTGCATTCCAAAAGACTCCACATATCCACGTATTGCATAATAATTTCGTAGATTTTTGCATAAATGGATTTGTGTGCATGGCTGTATCTGTAAAAGGCCAAGCCTAAAAAAAACCTTTAGGTGGTAGTGGGTACTTCTCAAAGTCGTTTCATCATTTTAAGTTTGTATTCATTGTCTTGCTCTTTTCTCCTTGCAGCTCAGGATGTTGTGGCCGGTACTAGAGGTGCCATTAGCGGAGAACTAATTTCCCTAGAAATTAGGTCTCCAGATGTCCCAGATCTGACACTAATTGATCTTCCTGGAATTGCCAGAGTGGCTGTGGGGGATCAGCCAAAAGACATTGGGGAGCAGGTAAAACTCAGTCTCATATGCCAACCTCTGCCCAGGTTCACTTCTGTAACCTACCTCATATGCAAGCCTTTGCTGTAGGACGCTGGAGTTGTTATGCTGGGCTTCTGAGCCAGCAATAGCTATGCCCCCATGCCCCTTGGATAGACTGCAGTCTGGAAGAGATACATCCCAAAATGAGTTGTCTCTTATCAGATCTGTGCATGTATTTGGCAATGGTGAATAGATCTGAGTTCTTGCAAGCTTTTCTAGAGCAAGGTGGCAAACTGGCCCTCTTACAGGTTGGTTGCTCTGCCACCCCTTACTCAGAGAGCACATCAGAATTAGACCCATCCTGGTTTCTCTCATCCCTTAAGTGATCCCAGCAGGCCCCTTTTGAAGTAAACCAATTCTGGGTTAAAATGGAGGGGATCTCTACTCTTCCTCTGGCTGCTTTTAGAAGAAATGCTGGGGAATGCAAATAAAATTCAGTCGTGGTTTAACCCCAGTCAGCAACTAAGAACCACAAAGCTGCTTGCTCACCTCCCCCCATCCCCCGTTGAGATTGGGGAGAGAATCAAAGGAAAAGGTAAGAAAACCCATGGGTTGAGATAAGAACAGTTTAATAATTGAAAATAAAGGAAATAGTAGTAGTAATTAAAATACTACTAATATTGGTAACAATGGTAATATGTAATGAAAGGAAAACAGCAATGGAAAAAAAACAAGTGGTACAACTGCTCACCACCCACAACCAATGCCCAGACAATCCCTGAGCAGAGAGAGACCCAGCTTCCCCCTGCTTATATACTGACCATGATGTTTTATGGCATGAAATATCCCTTTGGGCAGTTTGGGTCAGCTCTCCCACCTGTGCCTCCTCCCAGCTTCTTGTAGAGAAGGAGCTGGGAACAGAGGTGCAGTATCAGAAACTGTAATAGTCCTTGACTTGATATAAACATTGCTTAGCAACAACTAAAAACATCAGCAGGTTATAAATATTCTTCTCAGCACAAATCCAAAACATAGCCTCATACTAAAAACATTAGGGTGTTATTGACATTCTTCTCAGCATAAATCAAAAACAGAGGTTCATACTAGCTACTGTGAAGAAAATCAACTCTATTTCAATCAAAACCGGCACAAACTCTAGCTGGACAAGGCCAGCTGTGAGGGTGATGTGCAGGAGCTGGGTTTGTTGTTATTATTCATTACTGCTATATTGCATTGCAGATCAAAACACTACTTAAAAAAATTATTTGCTGCAAAGAAACACTCAATTTGGTAGTGGTGCCATGTAATGTGGATATTGCAACAACAGAAGCACTGAAAATGGCTCAAGAGGTGGACCCCACTGGAGAAAGGACACTAGGTGAGGCATTTTTTTAAGCTACAAGTTGAAGAGAAATGCAAATATTTTTTTTCCTTGGAAGTCTGATGTTCTGTATTCCATGCCAGATCTCTGAAGTTAGCTACTAGAAGAAGGAAAATAAGTAAATAAATAAACCAGCCTAAATAAACCATTTACAAAGCTTGAGGTGATCCAGTAGCTCTAAGAATCCCACAACTTTGAGTCTTGCTGGCATTCATGTTATGACTAATTGGAAATTGAAAATCTCAGAGTTGATGGCGGGAAAGCTTTGCTGCTGCCTGTTAAAAATGGTTTGCAAGGCAAAAGGCGCAGTGGGAGGCCAACTGTGGAGCAAGTTTTACAGTGCAAAACCCAGAAGCTGAGAGCTGTCTGTGGAAGAGAAAACAAAACAGAAGTTGCTTTATAAAACACAGTACGGAGCATTCCCGCTCTGGTGGCAGGTTTCCTACCACACCTTTCCCACCTTTTAACTTTTGCGCTTGACTTTCTCTTTGGGTGTCTTCACAGGGATCCTTACAAAACCTGACCTGGTGGATAGAGGAACTGAAGAGGCCATTATTAACATAATGCGAAACATGGTCATCCCCCTCAAAAAAGGTTACATGATTGTGAAGTGCCGTGGGCAGCAGGACATCCACAACAAACTGGCCTTGGCCACTGCAATCCAGCAAGAGAGAAAATTCTTCAAGACTCACAAACATTTCAGGTACTTCTCGCAGAAAAGAGCTAATCGAAAACATATTAAAGTCACTCCAAAGGTTCCTGTTGACTTGCAGAGATGTAAATCAGGGTTACAAACAGGTATTAGTTATGCTTGCTGTTTCTCGTTGCCCATGTAGTGTTGCACTCCAGTAAGCCAGAAGAATTTTACATGCCAAACACAATTTTTAAAATGTATTTTGGGTGGAAGTTCAATATATATCTCTCCTTATCCCTGGGAGAATTGCAATGAACTTCAGAAATTCAGAATAGTCCCAAAGAATTCGAGTTAAGCATCAGAGCAGTTCAAGTCAAGCACTGGAGTGTTTCTATGCACTGGAAATCACAGTGAAACTCAGCATGAGGAAGGATACTGGCTGTGCTGAGGGCACAGATTTGCCCAGAGGACAACTCAGCAGCAAATAATTCATAATACAGAGAAAGGCAGGTGAAAAGGGTTTGAATCGGTGTACTTCACACATGCAGAAATAATACAGCAGCACATTAATCTGCTGTTAGAATGTGCTATTTTCAGATTTTTCTCTGTTTCCCTTTGCTCAGTAGCAGTAGTTGTCAAACAACTGATACATAAAAGCCATGGTGCCCAGAGTCCAGGGCTGCTGCTGCATCTCTACTAGCACTGGCCAGAGGGCCCATTAGCAAATTTGTGTAGTAAAACTAGTGAAAACAGAGCAGAGCATCTGTGCTGCCTCCTTACCCTGCACACACAGTCTATCCAAACCAACCTTTTCCTCTTTTTTTGCAGCATTCTTATGGAAGAAGGAAGGGCTACTATCCCTCATCTGGCAGAGAAGCTCACAAATGAACTTGTGAAACATATTATTGTAAGTTATCTAAATTATCCTTCAATCCAGCAATCTGAGTACAAATTGAACTGAGACTTAGAGATAAAGAAACCCAGGCTGTGTCTTAAGGTTTGCCTTTAAACTGAAGATTGACAATAGGCACATAATTTTCTCTACTTGAGACTTATAACTCCTGCCTTTTCAGGGAAAGCCATAATACTTCTTTTGTTTGTGAAGTGTGTTGATTAGCTGGGTGACAAATTACTGCTATGAGCTTACTAAAACACAGCGATTTCTATTTAACTGAAAATGTCTTAAAACTCTCAAAATGTAATAGTTTTTATTATATTACTATACTAATACAAGTATATTGTTGGGTTTTTTTCTTTTATAGTCACATATCTATAAGCAATGTATCTTATTCCATTAAAGGAAATTATAAAATACAAGGAACCTCTAAATTCAGTTCTGAAGGAGAAAAAAATATGTATCTATGTAACCTTACATAAAATAAGCAACTAAGCACCTGTGTTTAATCAGGTATTTACCTGGAATGGAGGGGTCAATATATTCCCTGCATCACCATCTCCCTGGCACAAGGTGTGAGGACATAGTTTTTGGCTCACTGTAGATTAAATGTTGCCCTAGATTGCAGCTACTCTGCCTGCCTCACAGGGAGGTCCAGCCTGATCTCCCAGGGACATCCTAGCCCCTGCCTTCTTTCAATGAAGGCCATATTTCCATTTCCATGCTAACCCACTATCATTGATGGGATGCAAGCACGGCGAGCTGTTGGACTCCAAAGAGCAGCAAACATCATGTGCAGCTGTAGCTCAGTCTTAAAGGGATTTTGTTTTCCTTCCAAAACCAGACATGTTCAACCTAAATGTCCTTCTTCACTGTCTACCCCCCAGAAAAATTTGCCAACACTACAGAACCAAATACGTGAGGTGCTCCAAAAAACGTTACAGGACCTACAAAAGTATAGAAGAGGCACACCCAGAACAGAGTCTGACAAGCTGATTTTCCTCACAGATGTAAGTATCAATATTGGTTTGGTCACGGAGCAGGGTGAGCTAAATGTCAGAGAAAAAGAAACCACCTAAAGTTAGCAAACTGTCAGCATGGACCACCAAGAAGCTTGTGGTATTATAAAATCATAGAATGGTTTGGCTTGGAAGGGAACTCAAAAGATCATTTAGTTCCAACTCCCTGCCATGGGCAGGGACACCTTGCACTAGACCAGGTTGCTCAAAGCCTCATCCAGCCTGGCCTTGAACACTTCCAGGGATGGGGCATCCACAGCTTCTCTGGGCAACCTCTTCCAGTGCCTCACCACCCTCTCCATGAAGAACTTCTTCCTGATATCCAATCTAAATCTCCCCACTTTCAATTTAAACCCATTCCCCCTTGTCCTGTCACTACAGGCCCTTGTAAAAAGTCCCCCCCCCAGCTTCCTTGTAGCCCCTTCAGGTACTGGAAGGGGCTATAAGGTCTCCCCGGAGCCTTCTCTTCGCCAGGCTGAACAAGCCCAACTCTCTCAGCCTGTCCCCATAGCAGAGGTGCTCCAGCCCTCAGAGCATCTTTGTGGCCTCCTCTGGACTCGCTCCAACTGGTATTTGTCACTGAAGTGTTTTGGAAGTAACAAAGACAAAACTCTGGCAGGAATACATCATACCTGAAAAAAAAAAACAAAGACCACAAGATCTCATGGCTCCTTCTAGCAATTCTTCTCCTGTTGATTGGTCAAAATCAAGCACTTCAGATGAGAGAGGAAAATAACACTCCGGCCTGCCTGAAATTTTGAAGGGTTTGAATTGTTTACAACACTCACAAAATCAAATGCATTTCTGATATCAAAATATAGTTTACAAGTCCATCTAAGCATCTCATCCTTGGGAGCTAATCCCTCACAGTAAGCTTTTGGCAGGCCAGCAGAGGTGTTTATGAAGGCTCATCAGCCTCCAAAGACTTCATACAAGTCTGGTCAATTAGAATTTAGTTAATGGTTCTAAGAGTCCACAGGAAAACAAACAAAATAAATAAACCAAGCAAAAAGAATAGTATCAAATTTGTTCTCCTCTAGCTGTCTTGGTTTGGGGAAGAAGAAAAGAAAAAAACCCCACCACCAAACCAAAACCAACTAACCAAACAAAACCAACCAATCAACCAAAAAACACCCAAGCAGGAGCTACGAGCATAAAAGATGTAAGGAAGAGATGTGGTCTTATGAAGCACGTCCCTGCTTCAGCATCAAAAGACTGCAGATTTACTTAAAGTATGCAAGTTAGACTGAAGAAATGAAATCTCACTACATTGCTTCCTTGTTCTTTAATTCATTACAGCTGATCAAACTCTTTAATCAAGACATTGCTCAGACAATACGTGGAGAGGAACAGTTGTTTGGAAATGAAACCAGACTGTATACAAAAATCCGCAGAGAGTTTCGAAGATGGGAAGTGATTCTCCTGGAGTGTGTTGCAAAGGGTAAGCTTAGGAAACCATCACTTGCAGCTGACCTGAGATTCCATTCCCTTACTTTTAAATCAAGAGACATCATCATCAATGAGTTGTTTTCAAGAAAGTGAAAAACAAGAAGCTAGGAGCATTCATCTGTTGTAGTGTTAGGCAAATTATTCTTTGGTGCACGGGGACAAAGGCACAGCTAAATGTGGCAGTTAAACTATATAATAAATTTGTTTTAATTCTATTGCTATTATTATTAGGAATATTTTGGAATTTTGGTCTTTTTTATTCTACTTTAGCTCTGGCTTAAGGTGTGGAGAAAGCAATCCTGAAATAACCACAACCTTGTAAGGAGTACCCCTTTCTGTGCATCACCCACCTTGCTAATTGCTTAACTGGACTCAGTTCTAATCTGAGGCGGAGGGTGAGACACACAGACTGAGCTGTGCTGTACACTCAACATCTTTTGCAGGACCTTTTCCAGACCTTTCAGAGACCCCGTCGTTTGCTCTTAGAGATGAAATAACATCAGTTGCCAGTCAAATAGTAGCTCTTGAAACAAGTTCTTTTAGTCTTTGATGCACATCTATGTCAACATCACTAGTGACTCTAAAAGGATGGGTACAAATAGGCTGCAAAGGTGCTGTCAGCCAGAGACAAATATATGTATATATATATATATACATATATGTGAAGACAGACAGGCAGACAGACATTGGTGTATGCCAGTCTCTCATATCCCATCCATGAAGTACCAAGCCAATCAACAGGATTTCATTGAGAGGCATAAGAGAGTAAGACAATGAAGGCATGAAGAAATAGATGTAGAAAAGTAAAAAGCACTAGCAAAAGGATGCAGCTCCTTCAGCAGACAAAGAGATACTGAGTTGCAGAAGATACACAAGGCATCATGCAGCAGCTGCAACTGAACCACAGCTGGGAATCCTCTGCGCACTTTCAGGCTATCCTCATTAATTTAAAATAGTATGTCCAACTTCACAATAGGATCAGGGTAGCAGCACGCAGTAGCTCTTACAACAGCACAGCTCTTTCTGACAATATGCTACCCCAAAATCATGTACGTACGCTCAGGTGAAGTATTTATATGTGCAGCAGAGTAAGTTCACTTACATAGCTTGAAAAGTAGAGGCAGCTTTAGCAAGCCCTTCCTCAAGGAAAAATGTTCTTATCAGCCACTGCTAGGATTTCTGAAGGTACGTCATTGCATGTCAGGTGATTCTGTTTAGCTTCAGCTTTTTTATGATGAATGAAAGTATTAAAAGTAACAGATACTTTGGATACTTGAAGCCTTGAACTTTCTCTTGCAACGCTGATGGATGTTCTTGTGGCCACATTAGAGCTTTGTACTACCTTAACTGTACAGGTACGTTTTCAGACTCTGAACCAGACATTCCGCATCTCCTTCTTTCTTTTCTTCTTCTTTTTTGTTTTTTGGTTATTATCCAACCATGGACTCACATATCCAAATGTTAGAACTGAATGCATTCATGGCTTGCCTTCTACTTCTGCATGTGCACCTGATCCATGATTCACAAATCTGACCCCCAAACAGTGCAATATCAAAACCTTTCAAAACACTTAGAAACACACCTTTGCCTGAATATGTAAACCAATTCAAAGGGTTAGACCTCATTTAAGATGGCAGATTCATGTAATGTCAACAACAAAACTGTGATGTCTTAAATAAAACTAGCTAGTCAACAGTAGATTCCTTGGGCTAAGACTGTTTAGTGAGTTTGGGTTTTTGTTTTGCTCAGGGTTTCTTAAAACTCAGAAGTGACTGGTAATGGCCACTTCTGTGAGGGTAGCAATTCCATGAAACAACAGTATATTTGAGCTCTATCATAATTTCTGAATTGCTTTCTGTCAGTTAGTTACTTGAGCCGGTGTGTGAGGTGGCTCATTCACTGAGCCATAATGTGTGTTACTACAGAACTGAATTAACAGTACTGCTTGAAAGATCTTCTCAGTAGTTGTTCTTCTCAGGTGCGTTTCAAAGAGAAGGAATAGACTTCCTTCTTAAATTTGAAATTTATAAATGGTGTGATTTAATAGTAAAGCAATGTTATTTTTAAATTACAGTTAAAAAAACCGTACCCAGTAAAGTGTGGAAATATGAAGACCAGTATCGTGGACGGGAGTTCCCAGGCTTTGCCAATTACAGGACATTTGAGGATATTATCAAAGAGCAAATCATAGAACTGGAGGAGCCAGCCGTGGACGTACTGAACAACGTGATTGGTACGTCTCATAGGCCACATGAGGTTGTCATGTGGGAGACACCGGTGTGCCTGACAATTTTTTTTCAGGATAAGCCAACATTGTCACTGCTGGAGCAAGAGCTCCAGCCAGGATACTTCAGAGTGGGGAAGTGAATCCGATTTGACCTGGGGGCTTGCCTCTTCTCTAGAGCCTCCAGTCTCTACACGTGGTGGCCAGCATTTGTTAATACTTTTACCAGTGGCTGATGGAAGAAGTTTAGAAAGTAACTATAATAAGTTACTCAGTATAGTACAGTGGAAGTACCTGGTGTCAGCCAAACAGCTTGGTATTCCCAAGCCTGGGGAGTGGCATTCACAAACCTGAACTGGGAACCTAGCTTCTTTGCATGATGTGCTGTGTATTATACAGTGACTGCTGGGGCTGGGAGAAAGGGTGCATAGTTCACCCAGTAAAAAGCAGCCAAGGAAAAGAGTCCCTTTTCCTAGAGAGACCACTCAGGGGGTGGTGTCTCCAGGAAAAACCACTAAAGTAACCACTAAAGATGTGGTTACATGGCCAAGTGGTAGCACATCTGGTCAGACACAGCTGTAAGCACAAAAATGCTTTATCAAATATCTTTATCAAAGAAATCTCAGTGATGTTCAGTCTCTCAAGTGTTAAGTGGTTACAGGAGGTGTTTCACGGCTCACACTCTTGAACCTAGGTACCTAAATTCCTACTTGTTTTTATCAGTCATAAAGGCATAGTGTGTCAGTACAGCTGCTTGGCTATTTCTGGATGAATATAGAAAATAAGCATTTTCCCAAGTTTCATATTAACAATAGCTTAAAAACCTTGCTTGCTTACCTGACGTTATTTTATCTGTCTGTTCTTCCCTTAGGATTTGTTGAAGATAAATTCATGGAACTCACTACAAAGCATTTTTCTAATTTTCAGAATCTAAACAGAGCTGCTAAGGTGAGACACTACCTGTCACCTGAGACAAAACAGGAGCAAGACAGAATGGTATTTGTAAATGCGGCTATGATTACAGTACCTATCACATTGCAGTAGCTTTATACAAATGTGGAATTTCTTGCAGGCCTATGTTTTTTAAAAAATAAGGAAGAGCTTGAAAATTATCCATGTTTATAATGGCACTAATGGAAGTGCATTTTAGCTTTCAGTACAACTTTGACAATGTCTAAAGCATACATTTCTCATTCATTCTGGTCACATTCTTGATGTGTACAACACAGTGCAAGAAAACCTGCTATGGCAGCCTTGAAGAGTTTATAATTAATTTCAAATATAAGTCCTGCAATGATTTGTAAGCATGTGGGGAGCCTCAGAGTTTTGTTCCTGTTAACCTTGTATTTTCCTTCAGGGTCCACTTGTGTTTTAGGAGTGGACAAAACTCTCACATTTTCCTGCTCCTTCACAACAGAGTAACCGGAAGTTAAAGCATTACTCCATGTTCCCAAGAACTGGACTGGGGTTAGATAGTGTTGCAGCAAGGACTGTTGAATCCTCTGCCCACCTTGCTGTTCCCTGGGACACTGCTAAGCACCAGAACCTCCCCAAAGGCAGCAAATGTCTGAGAATTTGTTCTTCTTTTCTTTCCTAGACCAGAATTGAAGCCATTAGAGAGAAACAAGCAGTGGAGGCTGAAAGACATATCCGGACTCAGTTTAAGATGGAGAGAATTGTGTACTGCCAGGATAACCTTTACATTAACGATTTAGAATCTGTTAAGGCAGAAAATGCTTGTTTCCGCTTGGATCTGTTTCGAATCAAGACCCCTCCTTTGTCCAGGAAATGGTTTCTCACACAAAGGCCTATTTCAACGTGAGTTACAGACTATGATACAGTTCTTCTGTCCCCTGAATGCTGCAGCATATACACCTCTTATGGATCTCACTGTAGTCACTATGCCTTTCATGTAGTGCTACTACGCAGGGAATAGTAGCCAGAGGGTATGAGTGTCTCAACCAGGTACACACAGAGCTTCTGTACAAATTAACTGGGGCTTCCGGCCAGTGATGAAAATGGCAGGACAAAGCTGCGTCAGCACAGTCACCGAGGAGAAGTAGTGGCACGTTGCAGGATATGGCGATTAGAAAAGCCTGGTGGTTGTTAAAATGACAGCTGGCTCCTAAACTGTAGCTACACTCCCAGCCTGGCATGGCTCCCTGCTGCAGCTGCCCCTAGCTCAGGGAATATGCTGTCAGTGAGTCCTCATCCTCCTCCAGCCTTTCATGGAGAAGCAGGTGACTCCCTGCTGTCTACAAAGCTCTGCATCAGTGCAGTGCTCTCTTGCTGGCTTTCCTACAGGGACAAGTGTCTGGGGGAGGAAAGGACAGGAAAGAGGAGGCTCCGAGGAAACCTCATTGCAGCTTTCCAGTATCTGAAGGAGGCCTACAAGGGTACTGGGAGAGGACTTTTTACAAGAGCCTGTAGTGATAGGACAAGGGGTAATGGGTACAAATTGAAATCAGGGAGGTTTAGATTAGATATCAGGAAGAAATTCTTCACAGAGAGGGTGGTGAGGCACTGGAACAGGTTGCCCAGAAATGTTGTGGATGCCCCATCCCTGGAAGTGTTCAAGGCCAGGCTGGATGAGGCTTGAGCAACCTGGTCTAGTGGAAGGTGTCCCTGCCCATGGCAGGGGGGTTGGAACTAGATGATCTTTAAGGGCCCTTCCAACCCAAACCATTCTGTGATTCTGTGATTCTATGACAGTCACTTCCCAGCATGGAGAAGAGGGTAGGATGGGGGAGAGCCCTTGGCCCTGTAATTCTAAGTTACTGATATTCAGTTGATGGCATGCCCCCCTCTCCAGCATAGGAAGCAACAGTCCTAGGATCAGGGTAACCTCCACTGGAAGTTCATCTCACAGTTTTCAATTAACACTAGTTTCCACAAGCTTAACATTATGCAAAGCACTTCGGCGTTTGGCACAATGTCTGAAAGCTCAGGTCAGCCTCAGCCTTTTTTCCTGCTGCCAGCAGAAAAGTGGTATCAGGGGCTTGCAGTCAGATCCTAAACTAGTGTGGCAGGAGGAGCAATAATAAAACGATAAATTAAAATGGATTTGGCTATATGCAGAGATCAGAGTGTGTATGTTGTATTCCAGATAGCTCCATAGAAGTTACGTCTCTGAAGACAAATGGGATGTCTTTTTTTACAAAGGATCATGTTAAAGACAGCAAAGAGAACATACAGTGTCAGGATTTGCTTTTGATGTTTGTTTCATGTAAGTCCCTCAGAAGGCAACAAGTTCAGTATTAATAATGCAGTATGGTAGGTAGCAGCTCACCTTGAATTTCAATAGCAAGATTTTGACAAATTCCTGCAATTAAGTGTTCGGGCTGCTCAAGCTGATGGAGGGAAAACCATCAGCTTTTAAAGAACAAGACAAAGGCAGAACAGCGTAAGCTCTTCCCTCCCACCTCGCTATGCTTTCTGCTATAGCACAAATATCTTAGATGCTAGTTATACATTTTTGTGAATGCCTTAAGTGCTGTTTTCAACAATAACAAATGCCAGGGCATCAAATCTCTGTGGGACTAACGCAAGGCCAAATACACCTTGAATGAGATGGAAACTCTTAAGCACCCATGGCATTTGAAATACAGCATGCATCAATCTGTGTCGCCTATGGCAGAACTGTCAAGATTCTGGGTAGAGTTTGGCTCCAGAAAAACACCCATATTTAAAGCACCTAGGCTCCTTCCCACCACAGTCAGTATTGCCTAGAGAATATGTAGACTCAGGAAGTGCCTTAGCTGACTCAGCTGAATTGCTTGCTGTTTAGATCTCTGCAAAACAGAAAGAAAAACTAACCATCTAGTCTTAGGTATTTTTCAGCTCAACTTCAACCCCATCATTGTACATGAAAGATTTGTAGCCACTGAGCTCCAGAGGTATCTAAAGCCAGAAACACCACAGACTCTTCCGGAAACAGGCTGCCTAAACCCTATAGGACGTAGAAATCAAATGTGCCTCTACCTGGCCTTCCCACTGCCATTTTCAAGTCAGGTGCCACAGAAAGAAAGATGGCACCTCTTTGAATTGTAGCCAGTCACTCAGGCGTAAGTGCTCACCTGGCACCAGGAGGGCAGCTCCCTCCCAGGGTTGGAGGTTTTGAACTTCACATCACCCAAGAGCACCAGCTAAGCCCCCAAGTCCTATGGCTGTCACTGAGGAAGGGGCCCCACAAGCTGTTCTAGGCCAATCTGTTTCAATTTGCATAAATAACTAGACCAGACAGTTTGTCAGGTTAAGCAGAAAGTTATCTCACTGAGATATCAATAGGTGTAATGTAGGCACAGCCTAGCCTCACTGTCACTGAAGACCATTTTCTCTTACGGCTAAAGCTTAGTCCAAAGCCGTCTTACACTTAAAAAAGGGGAACCACATCACAAATACCATCTAAACACAGGAATTCACCACCTTTGGAAAAAATCACTGTTTGATTTCCTGTACCATAATGGATTGGTAGCATTCACAGAAGACCGGTTTGATGCCAGGAATTGTTCACAGGTAGTATTCGTATAGCTCTTACCAATAGCAGCTGGCAAAGCTATGGGGGAAACAGCCAGCCCTGAGTTTAGGTTGCTGAGGGAAAAAAACAACAGCTGACATTCCCGTAAATCTTCATTTTTAGATCTTTAGGCACAAAAGACACTAATGGCAAAAATTTTTTTAGTTCTTAGTTTAGCCACTTCTTGAACAGTAACTCAATACAGTATTTTAAAAACATGCTGTTGCTTATTACCAGATTACCTATAGCCCCTTCCTTTTTTAGTTCATTTGGGGAACCAAGTCTGCCTTTTCTTCCCCTTCTTGCAGGGAGCAAGTAAACGCCTCTCCAATCAGATACCCCTGATCATCCTGTCTTCTGCCCTTCATGACTTCGGGGATAGCTTACAGACCAGAATGCTGCACCTTTTGCAAGAAAAAGAAAAGTTAAGCCATCTCCTTCAGGAGGACAGCGAAGCTGCTAAACATAGGAACTATCTCAATGAACAAGTTAATCGTCTGAGCAAGGCCTGTCAGTACCTGAGAGACTTCACCTTGCTCTAGATTTCATTTTTCAGAAGTCTTTCTTCTACTCTTGTTTTCTAGCATTATTGAAGAACTTGATAAAATCCCCTAAAAATGTAACATCAGCACAGACCTTTAGCACTCAGGTCTATTATTTAGTTCTTCTTTATTTTCCATAATCAGATATATACAAACACCTACCTTTATCTAAAGTGCTCCACTGGGAGAGTTGTCATTAAATAAATTTATCCCATTTTTAAACATTTTATGAACTCTGTACCATCACTGAAATAATTATTAAAAAGCTCTGGGGGTTGTGTCTTCGATTTTTTTTTAATGAGGATGAGGGCTTTCAGCTCTATAACTCAAAAACCGTAGAAACCAGATTACCTAACTTTCCTAGGTAAAGCCTACTAAACAACCCTGGTGATTCCCTGCTTCCCTTTGTGTTTTTACCTTGCTGTGGTGGTTGGCTTTCTTGCCATCGCCTGAAAGACGACTCTGCAAGGTGTTGCCACTGTTAAGGCCCCTTCCAGTAGAGAGGGTGCACACGGTGGGCATGACAGTTCCAGCCTAAGGGGAAAGAGAGTTAACTTCATCTGATCGGTACATCCACAGCACGCCCTTGGCTTAGTTTCTCCTTCTTCAGTTTTCCAATTTGTAAGAAAGGCCAAGAGGCTCTTTCTTTTGGATGCCTGTAGCATTGCCTGAAATTTTGGGACTGAGGGGCAATTCAATAGATGGCAGGATGTGGATGTCCAAAACCACCCAGGATGCGGTTAGAAGGGCGTCTCAGCATATGGCTTGCTGCCTTTCTCCTTACCCTCCCCAGGGCTGGGACAGCCTTTCCAAAAGCTCTTTTGTTTCACAGAAGCCAGTGCAAAAAGTAATACTACACATTTTATTCATATGGAGGATTTAATGGGCAAAGCTGTGCCTTGTGTAGCAAGAGGAATGTCTGCATTCAACTAAAAAAATTCTGCTTGTACCAGCGTGTCATGTAGTAATTTCCAAGATGCTTATGAGAGAAGCCTTCTCTTCAGGCTAGGAATAATAGAAGGTGTTTGACCCTCTGACATGAAACTGCAGCAGCAGGTAGCCGACTTCTGTTGCACACCGTTCACCCCAGTACAGCACACAGCTTTCTTAACCCTGTTTAGCACTACAGCCAGTCTTCCTCATTTCATTTGCTACTATTGACTTGCAGTGCTGCAGGTCAGAAGCCATAAAAGCAACCTGATACCATAACAACTTAATGTATTTAATTTTTCTGTGGAAAGTACTTTAAACTTGTTGACTACTGCATGGTATCCCCCAAGGCGTACTTCATGCTCATGTGCTATCGAAAACACGCTGTCTCACACCTGAAGAAGAGGCAGGTACACGTTCCTTCAGGCAACATGAGATGTAGTAACAAAATAGGGCACAACTCCCTCGACCCATTGCCTTTAGGCTAAACTTCCTTATTTAATTCCATTTCACAAGTCAGAGTGATTTCATCAAATCCAGCCACAAAAGACATCCAACATTACCAGACACACAGCTCTTTCCTGGGGTTTGTTCAAGGACTTGAAATATTAGAATTAAAACATTATTTTGGATCGCACTCTTGTGCTTTGTTTTGTTGTGAATCAGATTCTCAAAGCACTTCAGACACTGAATCCAGCAACTGCTTCCAAAAAAATCCAAGCAAACAGATATAAACCACTACTAAGGAAAACCATTTGTAAAAAAAACAAAAGAGAATTTATTTGGTGCAGTGTTCACAAGCAAGATAATTGCAATTCAGTACCAAAGAGCAAACAAGACTAGCAGAGTCATTTCATTCAAAAGATTTATCCTTCTTAACAAAAGTGACTTGGTATGGCTTTTTGATCCTGTGTACTACAATTATAAATTATTTTCAAAATCCTAGTTGAAGTGGCACTGTGATGCTAATTACATTTTGCTAAAAACACACATGCAGCTACATAAAGGACAGCTCTAAGGAATTAAAAGCCAAATTTAATAAATGAGGTAGTTCATCTGGTTATGCAGAAACGCAGGTTTTTTCCTTTGTATAAAACATCCAGCCTCCATATATACGTCTGCAATCAGAGCTCTATCACTTGCAACACAGCTTTACTGAAAAACTTTGCCCTTTGCCTTTTACAGCAGGGAGAGTTCAAGAGTCAACTTCGATGTGCGCAGCCAGGGATCTCTCCATCGGGACACTTAACTCACCGCTTCCTGCTACAGCTCTCTGGAGCATCCCTCTCTGTAGCTTACATCGAGAGTGACGGCAGGTCTGTCCTTTTTGGGTTCAGAGCAGCTTAAGGCAGAACAGCACTTTTAATTACTGAGACAGCCAGATTGGTCTCACATCGAACAACCTGACTTGGATGATTGTCGAGATCCTGAGGATTTTTAACTACCTGAATATACAGGGATTTTTTTTTTTCCTGTGCCTCTACCATAGTGCATAAAAACTTCCCTTCATATATGCCAAAAAACATTAATTTCTTTTTAAATTGCCAACCAGCAGCTCAGAGATTCAACATTCACATTACTTAACATTTAATTTAAAACACTACTAAACCAACTGTCTCAGTATCCTGCTACAAAAATCTTTAATTAAATTGTGATTTAAATTGCCATTATAAGCCTGTATCTGATTATCAAGAGAAAGTTACTCAACTAAAGAGAGACATTTCAGCAAGCAGTTGACAGAAGCACTTTCTGCCAGGCACCACAAGAAGAAAGGTGCTCATTGTGAGAGTCCTTCACTGATTAAGATCAGTCACTGCAGCCAGCACAGAACCAAGTGTGCAATCCTTCATGTTATTTTTAAAAAAAGAAAATTCAAAGAGAAATTTTAAAAAATAATCATTTGCAAAGTGAATAAATATCCCAGGCACCCATGGCTTCACATATTCTTGTTCTCAGAAACATCGATCAGCAAGGACAGGCAGCATTGTCATCGGTTTGCCTGTTTAAAACAAAACAAAACACAAAGGTTCAAGTTCTGCTCACAGACTCTCTTATCAATTACTTGGATGTTTCTCAACAGAATAGCTTCATTAGCAGACAAGTCACGTTTATTTATTTTTATCAATAAAATCAAGTTTCAGGATTTGGGACATTTAAAATTATTAAAAATACCCATCAAATATTTTACCTGCATATTCTTATAAATCCAATCTGTAAACACAGTCATATTCCCATACACTCCAGGTCTGTTGGGACTAGCACAGCCAGTTCCCCAGCTGGTATCTCCAACCAGCCACCACACAGAGTTTTTATTAGTTACTAGCGGACCTCCACTGTCACCCTGCACAAAATACAAGCACAGAATTAGCGAACTGGCTATCAGGAAAGACACAATCCATGTCACTTCAGGAGTACAGGTTAAGTATTAAAAAAAAAAGCTAACCACCATTTTAAGGCAGTCACTAAAAAAAAAAGTGATGGCAATTACAGTATTAAATGATGACTGCTTGCATAGGGATGAAAACTGTTTGCCCAAAGCAATAAATGAGATTGGCGTTATTGACATTCATGTTCACAAGCATAATGCTAGGGTATTGCTGCAATTATGAAAAAGCATTCATTCACCTTCAAGTACCAGATAGCAAAACATCTGTGAAGCGTTAAAAAAAAAAAAAAAACACTGCCTCACCCTCTTTGGGTATTTAACGAGAACTCTGTGCTGGCAGTCATTCAGAAGAAGAAACAAAAGCTCTTCCATTTAAAGGGATGCACTACAACAGAAACTACAAGCCCAAAGTGTTGCTTCTTTTTTCCCCCCCAAAAGATATATTTGCAATTAATAGATGATTAAGAAAAACCTACTAGAAAGACCACAAACAATAATTGGATCATTACTAGGTGTTAATTAGAAATAATTACCTGACAGGAATCAATTCCTCCTGCTAGATATCCAGCACAGATCATTGTCGGCAAAATCATGCCATTATAGATATAGACAGAATTACACCTAGAACGTTCTATTAAGGGCACCATAACATAATTCAAATTATTTGACGTTTTACCTAGAAGTGAAACATGCGCAAAAACACACATACAAAGACAAAATTAGAACAAGAATCATATTATGTTGCTAGTACAAATCCCAACAGCTAGCACTGCAGAAGAAATAAGCTTAATAGAAATACCAGGATGGATGTTTAAGTTGTACGGTCCATCACACAGAGACAACTATGACATTAAAACTCCATCCCAAAAGGTCAGTGAGTTAGCTGCTTTGCTGTCAGTGTAGTGTAGAGCAAGACAACACGGCACCTACCTGCCTACTCCAGCCCCAGACCAAGTGTGTTAACCACAGGACTGTTAAAAGCACATGAAGTCTGCAAAAGGCGAAGAGGACCTCTTCAAAGTTTCATGGTCCAGCACAAGCTGCCAGCAACTCCCATGTTTAGGGTCCAGCTTGCCCCAACACCCCCCTCCCCACCCAGTACCTTCTCATACAGAAAGAAACCTTTCTTCCCTTTCCATTTCTTACAAATTTACGTGCACCATGCTATTTTAGCTTGAGGTGGTGGAAAGGACAAGCTCCTGCCCTTTCCCACAGAGGACTGGCTTGGCATGCAGCTATCCTTGTTAGAAGAGAGGCTACCCCGCTAACAGGGGCACAACATCATTTCCTGTGTAAATATTTCTGGCCCCCAGGGCTGGTTTGAGGCTCCTTTGCAGTCTGCTGAATGCAACACTTCACAAGTCACTTTGAGACAGAATGCCCGGTGTAAATACGCTATTTTTTCATCTATTTTACAGTCCATAGTATCAACAGATCTGTCTCAAACTGCCCAATCAGCCATCCAACAGTTATTTGTAGGCTGAGGAGGACTGGTTTACATAGAAGACCAAAATATTCCAGAGCCACTCTTTACCTCCTTGGTACTCTGCTCCCCACCCAGATATCCAGCACTGCTGATTAGGTTGGAACATCATTCCTGGATTAGGCAGACAAACTGGCTGTATCACATCTATAAAGCAAACACAGTAACATCTGTAAAGCCAGATGCCCAGTCAAAATCCAAAATAAGTGCATATAAAATATCTCACCATGACCACCCCTTAAATAGGATATACGTTTTCTCTGTATTTTACCTTCCCTGCAAGATTGCCTGTTGCAATGCAGGCAGCAGCAGAAAGCTTATCAGCTGCCCTTTCCCAGGTGGCTACCTAATCTTCACCTCAAAGTGAGCAATAAGCACAGTTCTAGCTCAATTCATCAGGCTAACCAGAAGAATTAACACCATCTCTTCTGATCAGCAGAGGACAAAGAAAAAAAAGGTCTGACAACTACCTCTCTGGATTCTCTTTGCAAAACCCTGCTGAAAGTAATCACAAAGGCAAGCAGGAATCAATGCCTATATACAGGAAGTGTGAAACACAAAAACCTGGTAAACAGACAACCTGCTCTCAGCAGCAGAAAAGTAGAAAAGCCCCTCCAGAGTACTTCTAGGAGCTTTAAACTGATGCACTGAAACATAAAAAGTACCTGTACACAAAAAGTACCTCAAAATTAAATAATGGTTTGTACTCTATTTTTTGCTCTTGCTTACAAACAACCTACATCTACTTTTAAGAAACGAACTTGTACGTTTGTTTTTGGGGCTGGTTTTTCCCGCTCCCCCCCAGTTTTTATTTGATGTAATTTGTTTTAGGGGTTAGTCAGTTGCTCCACTGCTACATCCTGAGCGCACATATAGGTGTGGCAATGTTTAAGCACTGTACAGCACTCTGGGGTGTAAGTACATTATTGAGATGAGCCCAAACTCCCCTACCATATACTGGATTTAAATAAATCCTACTTAGGAAATCAGAGGGTGTGCTCTCTGCCTCTACCCTGTCTCTGTCTCTAAGGTGTCTCTACCCACATTTTGTGTTCTTCCCATAAGTATCTAGAAGGATTTCTTGATGAACTTGAGTAGTTTTAAAAGATGTGCTCACTGCCATTGGATTTTTGCCTGGAGAAGAACAGAATACATACCAGTAAAACGCAGCGGTGTCTCTAACTTCATAAGGGCAACATCATTGTCTTTAGAATCTGTATCATAATCCGGATGGGAAATTATCTGTTGCACTCTGTATCCATTTCTTAAGAGCATCTCATTCTGATTCAGAATCCCAGCATAAACCCTCCAGTTGTACGGGTCAGAAAATCTTCTACAGAAAAAAAGAAAGGTCAGAAGGCCTGCCTCTGATAATTTTTTGAAGGTCACAATTTGTGACTTGTCTTCAGAAACAGTAGTCAGATGCACGTGTGGCAAAGAATTCACACACATTTGACTACCCTTTCTGATGAATAAGGTAAAGAAATTGCAAGACATCTAACTTCAGGAAAGCTTGACTCTACTTTCATACATATATCCTTTAAAAAATAATCATTGGAATGTGTTAAGTACCACTGTCTATCCCTTAGTCACTCAGCACAGCAAATTATAGTCTGAGACTAGAACACTGAAGTCCATTGAGTTCTGTGGCTGGGGGATCAGGCAGTTGTTTCTGAGGTCTCACATGTCAGCAGTATCACTCGTGTGTACTATTCAGAGCACACAAGGGCCGCAGAAGCCAGAATTAGTGAAAACATGAGTTAGTGAAGGAATTTTACTATCCTGAAAATGTAGGTGGGGTGTGAACGTTACTTGCTTTTGGTGGTTTGCTTTTAAATGCTAAGCATGTGCACCAGATGTAATTTAAGTAGTCTCTTGTGCTCCAGCACAGTTTACAAATGCTTAGTAGAAGACTTCCCACAAGTGTTGAAGCTCCCTCCATGACAACCACCAAGGCAGCACTGCTTGCAAGCGATTACCCCTCAATTTAAACAAAAACAAACAAACAAACAAAAAATCAAAACATCAAGACCGACAACCAATTTTGTGCCAGCTACAGCTTGGTTGCTGTTCCTAAAGTTTTTGCATACTACAGAGCTCAATCAGAAAACAAAGGAGGGGTAAAGATCATCACATAAAAATAAACATTTGCATTCCTTTCTCAAGGTTAAGGACAAAGTTAATTTTCCTTGGCTTAGCCTCAAACTGCGATCCAGCCAACCAACCGTTAAAATGTTTGTGCTTAGTGGTTTTTCCCTCCTACAGAAGCAGCCACCGTTTAAACATATTCTGCCACTGTACACAAGGTACCACAACACCCTCAACTGTCCTTTATAGGTTAAAAATGTACAAAGCACCAGCTATTTTTCCTGTTGATACCTACGTAAAGTGCTCCTTGGATAGGTATAAATCTACATTTAATGCTGACTTGGGCTTAACTACCCTGTAGCAAGAATATACAAGGAAATAAATAGTAAAGGAATCTTTAAATTGATTGTATCTACAGTTGTGAGGTATTTGAGGGTTTGGGATTTTTTTTGTCCCTTTTCTTTGTTTTTCCTTACAGTGCAATTCAACATCGTCATGAAATCACTAGACTGTGGTATTAAGTTTGGTGTCTTAGGTTTACCTCTTAAGTTGGATGGGTATCTATGCCCAATACCACCATCCAATTTAACTTCCACGTTTAACAAGTAAACTATGACTTTTCTTTCTATAGAAAGCAGACAGATGATCGGCAGCCAGCCTCCTCCAGAACATATTTTCCCTTAATACTTGCAAAACCTACTGCTACATAGACAAAATACTGTACCTAGCACCAAGGCAGGAGGGAAGAACGGTATTTAAGTCAGTTTTAAAGCAGAAAGTTGGGAGATTAAGTAAGTTTGTGCACCTCAGTCAGAAGTAAGAAAACTCACCATCTGAGAGAGGAACAAGCGAGCTGGTCGCTCCAGCGATACTCACCCTTCCACGCAGTGTGCCGCTGTCACAATCCACTGGCGGGTGATGATGGAGCCCCCGCAGACATGGATGCCCTGCACATGGAGGCTGACCTGCCATGGCCACTGCCCCAGCACTGCCCCGCTGCCACCCACGATTCTGTTCATGATGTTCACGCTTTTGGTGGACAGGCCGCACTCTAAGGAGTGAGTTACACACACAGAGGTGTTAGTCAAAGAGCAAGCTGGTCTGAAGGATGGCTTCTGCAGCTCAGGCTTCACTAGCAGAGGGGAGCACAGGCCATGTCTGACCTCTGCACTGCTGGCATTCATAGAATCCCAGAATGGTTTGGGTTGGAAGCGACCTTAAAGATCATCTAGTTCCAACCCCCCTGCCATAGGCAGGGAGACCTTCCACTAGACCAGGTTGCTCAAAGCCTCATCCAGCCTGGCCTTGAACACTTCCAGGAATGGGGCATCCACAGCTTCTCTGGGCAACCTGTTCCAGTGCCTCACCACCCCCTCTGTGAAGAATTTCTTCCTGATGTCCAATCTAAGTCTACCTTCTTTTGGTAGATATGTGGCAGCTCAGGCCCCTGCCCTGGACACTGAGATCCCGAGTCTCCCATAGCCTAGACCCTCTTCACATCGCAGATGTCAAGGTGAATATTTGGTAGCTGCTGCCACACGGTTCACCACAAACACCTTTGAGCGTGGTATTCAAGGATCTCCTGAGAGTGCTGCAGACACACCTCTGTGTTGTGCAACACAACAGACAATATCCAGGAGCCACCTCACAGCAGCCTTCATGGCCAGGAACGCACTACCCACCCAATGGCTGCATGTTGGAGAGCGGATGCACCACAGACGTCCCACCAGGGCTGCCGGCCAAGGGCTATGGAGCTTCGCCGAAGGCATGTCATTTAAAGGAAGCAGTGGTGGCAACGACAAAAGCAACCAGGGATCCAACATCCTCCTTGTTTCCTCTCCCACCCTGCTCCTTGAACTGCACTGTTTAAGACTTGGGAACCAGAGTTGCATCATCTGCCCATCAAAAGATGGCAATTATTTATGCAGATTCAAAAGGATTTCCCAGCCAGAGCACTTCAAAAGCATGAAGTTTGAGAAACAGTCACTCACCTATGCAGCGCAGAGAAACCACACTTCCTGATGCACAGGAATCACTGCAGTAGAAATTAAAAAGAAAAATAAAAAACAACACAGGACTTCAGGCACACAGCAAAAGAAATAGTGGGAAAGGTTTACCTTCCGGCTGCTGCCTACCCTTCCCAGCTACACGCTCTGCTTTCACCCTCCTCTTCCCGCTCAGGATCGCGTACTTTCTTCACTCTCTCCAGCTACCCTACCAGCAACCTGGCCTCCACTATTACTTGCTTTCACCAAAACTGTCATGTGGAAGACCGCAGTCGCCAGTACAAAAGGTCTGTAAGCCTCCTGAGGGGCCAGATGAAGAACAGCATGAGGAAAAGTTGAGCCGACTTATGAGGTAGTTGTAGAAGAACTTGAACAAGGGAGCCATGGGAACTCTGCAGGCACTGCAGTCTACAGGTTCAGAAACTAGACACTTTGGAGTTGTCTAGTGAGAATAAAAATGATACTTTCCACAATGAAAGATGGATTTTGCATGCTGTGTGTTCATGTGTCTGGAAAAAAAATGCTGTGCCTGCTGCTGTGAATGCGTTATAGTTGATAGTTTTCTGAGGCTCTTTAACCAGCAACAGGGGTTTCTGCGTGGTGACAAAAGCTATCTTTGACATGGCAACCTTCTAGACAGCAGAGAAGGAACAGGGTGGGGCATCTTCTCTTTTAACAGAGGAGAAGGATGGAAAAACGGCATCTGTGTTTTTAAAAAGAAGGGAGAGCAGTTGCTGCAAACATTAAAATCAAAGTCTTTTTCCCTCTAACAATCCCCACTGAAAGATGTGCTTGCATTACGCTACAATCAGAAGATACACCTCTCACAACAACTAAAAAGACCCCTGACAAAAGGAAAGGAGTTTGTATTAAACAAATGTACCTGCTATACAGCTTTTTGTACAAATCTGTATTCCCAGCACTTGTGTTCAGCTTCATGTAGCTTTTAAAGCTGACTTCAGGTGCTACCCCTCGGCTATAGTAATACGTATCTCTGCAAAACAGAAAGTCCATTATGATACCCAGTAGTTTCAGTTTTCAAACAAGTAACAATAAACTTGAGCTTCTGACATGACCCTAAAAATGTGATATTTCTTTTTAATTAAACATAGAAGCCCATGTAGTACAGTGTCGTGTACATGTCATGTACTACAGTGATGTAGTGCAGTGTCAGAGACTCAGACTCATTAAATATTTATCAAGTTCCATTTCCCATCAAACAGTAACTAGATTAAAATAATATTGTTTTATCTAATATGCATGCACGGTCTGAGTCTTCAGCCTCATGAAAGCCCTGGCAAGATGAAGAGAATCCTTTGCCAGTACACTTATACAGCAGAGCACAGTCCAAGTCAAACAGGCTGTGACAGCCATGTTTCTGAGGCACTAGAGAGGTAGCAGGTTCTGCCAGGCTTCCTAGCTGAGGACCAGCTCTGTGTAGTTGCTGCTGGGCTGTCTTACTGGAGCTGGAAGTACTGGGGTCACTGCTGGTTCAGAGACCTAAATTCAGAGCCCTACGACACAGTGTGGGCACACACAGGTTCTGCCTGCCTGGGCAATAAGCTCACTCCATTACTCCACACACAACAGAAGACAGTATTTGCCAACTATATCAAAGAGGGGCAACATCAAGTATTTCAACCACCGAAGAATTTAGGCTACAGAGTTACGTGGGGAGAACATGGGCCGCACTCAGTGCCACCACTGTTTATGGGATCTTCCACATGAGCTGGTGTTACTTGTGTCCTCAGAATAATAAGGCTTTCCGTGTAACACTGGTGATGACAGGTTGTCAGATGGGACGTTATAGAGCATTTACATTAATCTGGAGCAAGCTCTGGAAGATGGTTGTAAGTGAACATATTGGATACAAGTGACCCCACTAAGCAACTCCTACATGTGTGCCAGACCCCGTTACTTGCTGGAGCAACATTTCATTTGGAACCTTTAGCAGCTACCATCGTTAAAATCAGATCCACTTGGGTTCACAAGAATCAGATTGCCAACTGCTTTTTGTTTCAGACACGCATTCTTAAAAATGGCAAGAGTGAATTTTAATTTTTCTACGTAGGTGCAAAGGGTGACAGAGGTTAGCTTACACATTGTAGCCCAGGTCTTTGCATGCAGTCCTCCCATAATCATCATTCCAGCCATCTTGACAAACAGGATACCAGGATTTGCTGACAGGTGAATAAACTTCCAGGATAAAGTTTGGTCCAAAAAGTCTAACTGCCAGAAAAGGAAGAAGGAAAAAAAAAAAAAAGAAACTAAGAACACCATGTGCTACAGTGTTCAAGGCCAGGCTGGATGGGACTTTGAACAATCTGGTCTAGTGGAAGGTGTCCCTGCCCATGGCAGGGGGGTTGGAACTGGATGGTCTTTAAGGTCCCTCCCAACCCCAACCATTCTATGATTCAATATTACTGCTCTTTCTCTACTTAAAAACATTGTTACCCATAATATTTGCTTGTATGTATGAACCGGTGTTAATTTAATGCTGCCTTCTACTCAAATTCTGACTAAATATCAAGTAGACAAAAGTATCGCAATGACTTAATTCTTTTTGCTTTCTTACGCAAGAGAGTTATGAAGTAGTTGAAGCATTATTGGGAGAATGACAAATGCAAAATATGTGGAATAAGACAAGCCTGTCTGATGACCACCAGATTGATGTTATCACCTGAAGTTCTAATAAGGAGTCAATGACGACTGTTCATTCCAGAGACAACATGACATTCAGCTTTGCACAAATCCCATTCAAATTAAAAGGTAATATTTAAAAGAAAAGATTTAAGTTAAGCCAGCTCAAACCTGAGCCAGTCATCTGTTTCAGCTTTTCAATCAGACCGGAAACCAGCTATCTAGATACAGGCTTCCAAGCACTCAAACATTCTAAATCATTTTAGAGATATAACAGGGCTAAAACGTCCCTGTTGTAACTTAGGCAAGCTTTGGGCAATGCAAGTTGCTCACAAACTCTTACAGTTGGCTGAAGGCCCCCTGCCTTGACTGCTGGCACTCACCACACCGGGTTTCGTCCTCGCCGTTGGGGCAGTGGCTCACTCCATCGCACCACTGGGAGGGCGGCATGCACACTCCTGAGGATCCACACTCTATTAAGGAGCCGAGACAACGATTCTCTACTGCAGGGAGAGAGCAACATAGCTATTAGAACATCACCTTTGCCTCAGGCGACTACTGCCAACTCTCATCTTAAGGAGTATTCCACTTTGATAGAGCAAAACATCAGAAAGAGCTCTTAAACTCAGAGATGGGAGGAGACCTAGTTTGACACAACAGATGTATTGCTCACTATTTTACATTGCTTGTCAGATTAAGTCACTGATGCAACTGATTGGATTTTGTCCACTGCCTCCCCTGAATAAGCAAGCACCATTAAGTTGTCTAAAAGGAGTCAGCTTTACACAGACAAAGCATAACACTTATAAACAGAAAAGGAGGAAGAAAGCAATTACTCCAATTACATCCTTTGGCTTTCACTGCCATTTAAAACAAGTTTACATTCACCCTGTATATATCAAAATGAGCAAAAAACAACCCCTAAGAACACAAAGTGTCATCCTAACAATTTTAAATTAACTCAATTCTCTTCTCCCTTCTTTTCCTGTACAGAACAGAAAGGAGTCTTCTAAACACATTGCAAACTGGGGTTTTTTAAGTTCCCTTTGAAAAGTGGCTTTCATTGAAAGGGAAATTAAGATATTAGAAAACAAAACTTCACCTAAGCTGAAACATAATTACCCTAGACCAGCTTCAGAGCTCTGTCACCTCAGTCAGGGATAACCTCCAAGGGAAATACATCATCTGTGGTACGGTGTACAGTGGTGAGACAGGCTGGGCTCATACATTAACTCACTTTCAAAGCAGAAGCCTCGCAGAAACAAATAAATGGGCATGAATTACTTCTGCTCCAAGACAGATCCCATTTTACCAAAATGAAACATATCTTGACCCTTTACACTCTTGCAGTTAAGGTATACAAGTTTACTTCAATCTCCTTCCTTCACTTGAAATTGAGTGAAGTTGAAATCTGGAACAGATTTCCATTTCAGAGAGGATGCACAGCAGAGGCTTGCCTAATGAAATGCACCACAGAATGTGTTGGCCACACACGGTCAAGTCCAGCTATCTGCCAGTGCAAAAACCCTTGCAAGAGGTCAAACTACCCTTTACTAACAGCTACAGCACTGTACAGTTACACTGCACCAGCTTTTGACAGATAGACTGGAGCTTTCCAGAGAAGCCACCTGAATAAACCACTCCAGAAGAATCAAAAAGCTGATGACATCACTTAACATCAAAAACATATTTACTTGATGAAAGTAGAGGAAAATGACAGCAGCACTGTTCATTACAAAGAAAGTAAAAAAAAAGAAAATACAATCAAAACTGAGCTATTAGGAAGTAATATTATTTCATCTCTCAGAAGATAGGTAACAAAGACTTCCCTGTCTTTAATTCAGCCCAAAATGGAAGATAAGAATGTATATTTCTAACTTGAAAAGTTGAATACATTTTTTTCTTTCAGGATCAAAAAAAAAAAAAAATTCTTACCAAAATACCAGATGAAGAAAGCAGCAATTGCACAACAAATGACTAGTAAAATGGATAATATAATGACTATGGTTTTCTTTACACCTGAAATGAAAGCAAGGAGAGAAAGAGAAATTAGGTTCCCAAATAAGGCAATTTCCAGCCACCTGAACTATTTCCTTGACATTAAAACCAGACATTTTTTGGCAGACAAACTTTTCTCCATTCCACCACCCTTCCCCCAAATCACCCAGGTTCCAGTACACTTACACCAGCGTCCCAGCCAGCTATTACTTCTTCGTCCACTGGGAGGCGGCTCCTTCGATACAGGAGTTCAAAGGCAAGGAAGATCCCTTTCATTTTGTTATCTTACTTTGGAAGACCTTAAGTCTAAAATTGGAAGAAAACCTAGCAAAAAACTTACTTGATGAACATGTTCTCCCAGATGAACGTGCTACTGGCCTAGTTGACTGATGGGTAGCAACCCTTGGGACATAGCTTGGCACTGACGGAACATGTGTTGAGTAGTACTGTGGATAGGGGTTAGCACCTACTGGCTGCCTGGCAGAATAGATGTTTTCTGGCTGAAAGCCATGATTTTCATAGTATGGCGGTGGACCCTAAATGATAAGGTTGAGGGGAAGGAAACAGGAGAAAATTAAAAGCAAGAGGCAAGACTGAAATTAGAGCAAAATAAGTTTCAGATGCTATTTACATGCCAATGCAGAACTACACCATGCATGCATACACATACTAGACAACTCCAATTTACACAGAGCAAGAAGTTTTCAGTACATGCCTAATACCTTGCACTTTGAATAATAAAAAGAACAAAGTGAGACTGGAATGCGTATGACAAGATCAGTTTCCTGATCCAAAGTAACTCAACCTAAGAAAGATTCTTGAGCCCAGCCCTCCAGATGGCCACACAAACCATTGCACTGGAACATCTGACAGGGTAGAAATAAGCAGCAAGGACAGTTTTAGCCAGTACAGTCACTGAAAGAAATGCTGACAAGTAACAGCCTTTGTGTGTGCAGTTGTCCAGGTCTGGGATAAATGTTTACTGCCCCATTTTGTCCTGTGCCAACACCAGGTATACCTAAGCTCTTTCTGAAACGCACTGGCCTACAACAACAGGTTGTGGAATATTTATCCTGGAAGAGCTTTAAGAACTAGTTAGAAACCATTCCAATCTATCCCTCCAAAATAAGCTTCAAAAGCACAAATCTCGCCCAGGAGTATCCGAGCCCTTGAAACGCTAGCTAATTCAAGCCTCTTACACCTGCCTCACAGTATAGCCCTTTCTTTTTGCTGAAAAGAAAACACAACAAATACTCTACATTAAAAGACTTGCTAACCAGGACATCACTCAATAGGCTGTTACTTGTAAAAAAATAAAACCTCATTAAAAAAAAGTAGTATTTTTCATATTTGTTTACTTACTACAGTAGAGGTCATCTTTCCTTTGTCACCAGTACCGAAACAATTCAAGTGTTTGGAAGTAATGTGTGAACCTATATTTAATTAAAAAAAACAACAAAAAATTAAAAAAACCCAACAACACAGAAAACAATCACAGCCAGAAACTTTGTTCACATTTCTTGTCATTTTTTCCTTTGGAAGAACACCAAATCTGGAGCGGGGGGTGGGGAATACGGAAGTATTTCAAGAGAAGGTACAAATTAAGGTGCAGCATGAAATCGGATCTCAATAGCCTCTCAATACAACCTTGAGGATTATACAGTGGCAACTATTCATTAGCACGAGCGCCACACAAACCGAGAAGATTAAGTTAGTGCTCACTCTCGCTGACAGAATGAGAGTTAAAGAATATCCTGGCAACAACCCACATGGTGTCAGTACCAAGTTCAGGTCCTCCTGCTTCTCTCAACACTTACTCATGTATCGCTCTGAGGTTTATGACACAGAAACGAGAACATGAACAAAGCATCAGGAAATAGAAATTCAACTAACTCATTTGGTAACGCCACCGCTAGCAGCCCCACAAGCTACGTATTTTTCACTCTTCCGCATCACAAACAGTTGGTTTCTTGGTTGTGCATTCTAGCCACCGCACCAAAAACAAGGAAAGAAGCACAGCAGGGAAACAATATGCCATATCAACACTAAAGTTTTTCAAATGAAGTAAAAGATAGGAGCTACATCCAATGTTTCAAGCATATAGCAGTTTATTTTAAAGTTAAACATTAACATTAAGTAAAACTACAGATTAGCAAAGATGCCAGAAACACGTTTGTTGTCATAGTTCTAAAATAGGCAGTTATACATCTCCACAAGCAATCATTTCAATAAATAATTTAATCTATTGAGTCCTCTCATAATGTTACTCTACGTGAAAAAATGCCCAGGGAGTGCCTCAGTCGCACACTGAGAAATGCCTTTCTTCAGCTTGCAGAGTAGTACCCTGCACATAGGCACACTGTCATGATCCCCGTTGAAAGCCATAACTATAAAGAGCAGTTGCATTAAGACACGGCATAATTCAGCCCTAAGTGTAAGACTACATTTTAGAACCTGTACCAAGGTGTCATCTCCCCCAAAAACAAACTGCAGATGCCTTTGAAGCAGATTTCAACGGCAGCTTGGCACCACATGCATGCCAATACTTTGTGACAGTTTAGGAAGGCTGATTCTGGTATTTGCTTATTAGTGCTAGCAAAAAAAGTACATAATAATGCACTGTTGAATTCTTATTTGTGGGGCAGACAGGTGAAGGAGTCTTACTCCTACTTACAGTAAGTCCATCAGATTGGTGACTAAGGCTTCAGGCTTTATGTGGCATCCATTCTTACCCAGGTCTTCACAGCAGGGTCAGGAAGTGTAGCTCTGCCCAGACTTTGAGGACAAGTAACAAGTTGCAGGGAGATTTTTTTCCTTTTTCCCTGAAGAGGGGGGAAAAAAAATTATTAAGAGAGCTTAGTGTTAGCAGACAGAACACTAGGTGGTGACTGGGGTAAACCAACAGGTACTATGACTAAAGGCTTTGTAAATTGGCAGATGACAGTCTTCCTCACCTTTTTGTTTGTTTGGGGTTTTTTGTTGGGGCTGTTTTTAATGGGGGGGAAACACCTCTGTTGCTTAGCTGGGTTTCAACCATCACTCCCAATTTATTTCTTGTTAATCTATTTCCCATCCAGCTTCTGATTAATAACAGTTTTCCATTATCACAACACAAAACCCAGGGAATAGATTTCCATGGTATTACACATACACATCCATATAGATTTCCATGGTATTACACATACACATTTGTCAGCGTATTAAAAACAGATTAAACTAAAACCATTGGGCTCCTGATAGTTTGCAAACATTTAAGGTCGAAATTGATGTGAAGCAACCAATAATGATAAAATCTAGTTTTCTTAAACACGCATCACTGACACTTCAAAATGTTTTACAAATACACCAAGGGTACTGCAGCAACTTCACAGATAAGGAAGCTGGGTCACGGAAACAAACTGACCTGTCAAACACTCCCCATCGCAACAACTATAGAGCTAGAAGAGATTGGTCTCTTCTTTATCTCAGTCCAATACTTCACCCTCCAACTCACCTCACACATCAGACAGATTTAAATAGGTCCCACATAAAAGTATCATAAACCCACTCTGGCGCAGAAGAGTTTAGTGGGAACACACAACTATCCTTCCCTGCCACTGACAGTCATTCCCCCTGATGTCTGCCAAGCTATAATGGTACTTTACTGGGTACCTCTGAAAAAACAAATCTCAAGAGTCCTTTAAAGTGAGCTGGTAGAGTCAAAGTGCACAAACATCCCCAGGCAAGGAAAGAGAAATGGAACTTGCCCCCCTCCAACAGGCTTGAAGATATAACAGACAGGGCCCAGGTAGCCAGAGCCTTGCAGGTCAGCTTGCTAACACCTACTAGCTTTGGAAAAAGTATACGCAAATAATGAAAGGGACCGGTCACTCATAGGCCCTTGAATTTCAAAAAATTTCAAAAAATGGATGGAGCAGAACCAGCATTCAGACCTCCAGGAACACAGAAGGTCCAAAATAGAGTGTGCTTTTGTTTCACAACTCTAAAAGTAGAGAAACAGCACTACTGTTTCTAATGACAGGAGGTAAGAGTGTAAAAGTTACAGCCATCACAGGTATAGTATACTGATGAATACAGTGAAATGTACTGCCTCACAGCTATTACTTGAAATATCTTGGCTTCTTCCCACATATGCCTTAGGAGTGTTATAATTAAAGGTCTGTCATGAGCCATTAAGATTTTAAAAATATATAATTTTTTCCAATAAAAGTTGTCAGAATGAAAAGAAAATAAAATAATAGATTAATTCAAAACAAATTTAATCAAATAGGTTTTTTTAGTTTTCTATGTATTTCTGCAAATTAATTCTTTATATTGGAGCAGAGTTGGTCTGTGCTTCATTTGATAACATACTTAATTGAATATAGACTTCCTAGACTATTAGTTCCCCAAAGGCTTGTCCTCCTCCCTACCACAGTGACAGCTACTCTGTCCCCTGGACAGGAAAAGCATCAAGCACAGGGTTGTGCAGCTCAGCTGTAAGTGGTCCTCACCACCACATCTTCATAAGCCACTCACCTCACTACTGCTGGGCAAAGGTGAACCTCTGCTTTTGCCTCCTTACAGCAGCAGCAGGTCACAACTCCTTTATAATTCACTAAGCAAGAGCCATGTGCTGGGTTCAACCAGGAAAAGGGTTAAATCTCTTTACTGTGGCTGCTAGAAAGCTGTGTTCCTGGATGCAGGGAGCAGCACTGATAAGTTCTTAGCTGGCACTGAGGAATGTCTGTACCAGTTTCAAGGTCTTTTCTCCGCTTCTGATACTGCAGCTGCGTTCCCAGCTCTCGCGGTCTCGCTACAGAGAGTGCTGGGACATAGAGTTCAGACACCTGACAAAAACTGGCCAAAAAGGTATTTCATATCCATAGTACGTCATGCTCGGGGCAGAGACGAGGAGGGGGTCCAGTCGCCATTACTATTCTTCCTCCCTGACTCACTCTGGTT